ACAAACACTTGTCTAGAACAAAAACTAAGGCACAGAAACTAACCATTCTAACGCAGAATAAATCTCAAGACATTGAACTTTTAGTACATCCGCGTAATGGTTTGCTATGAGGGATGGGGAAGAAGTTATATCGTTTTAAACATAGCCTAAAATGCGAACTTCCTGACTGACACCGGCAAAGTCGCCTCAGGGCTCATTAACCCCATGACCCCAAGCCGGGGAGCTCCGGCGGGCTGCTTAGTCACGCGAACTAAAAGTAACAGAATCGGGCGAAAAGTGAGGCTGTGTAAGATAAGTACGGCTAGACTTTTGGCTAGCAGTACTTAAAGTACGGCTAGACGGCTAGGCTAGCCATACTTAAGGACGCTGGTCAATCAGGCTAGACGTACTTATTATTGATAGCTGAATTGTAAATGAAATTTTTAGTTTGCAATGCCTGAAGTATTTGTATTTCAGACCAAACCAAAAGGTGCCTTACTGACCTGCATGTATTTCAAACCTGAGTAATAGATCTAGATCTACATCTAATGAGACCTGTGTACTCCACAGGTTTGAGTCGATAGGGCCAAACCTAGATCTAAGTCTTGTACGGCTAGCCACTTCGATAATGTATACTAAAAATTAAAAATATTCCAGAATTAGAATGGGTACATCTTCACTACGCATCGACTGTGTAGATCTATACACAGTCCCAGGGTTTTTAGTTCCTTTGCAATTCTATTTAAAAAATCTAAATCCACTAGATCTAGATTTTTAGATCTAGATCTAGAGATACACACTCACTACTAGATCTAATCTAAATCTAGAGTTACCCTAATTATCTACTAATTATCCGGTCTTAAATTATGAATAGGCCTATCAATTTGAGTACAGACACATTTCCTGACAGAGTCTACCAATGGTAATAAATCTTCAGCTAGATTTAGATCTAGACTTTTGATATATATATCTAGAGTCTAGATTTAGAATTGTTGAGTTGAATCACACACACATAGACTATATGAAGTGAAAGTGGCTATTCTCACCCGCCCGGAAGTTCTC